AATTCAGTGAGATCATGTATATTAAGCACAGAACACAATATCTGGCACATGGGAAGTACTTCCAAAATTTCATCAAATTATCATCATCATTCAGTTATTATTATTATTACCATTGTTTTTAGGCTGGGGCATTATTACTTTCCCCACATTTTTAGTACTTCCCCAAGCTTCAGCTAATCTTATACTTGGCATTCATCTAATTAGCAATGATTCAAAGGGCATTATTCATTATATTAAAATATTTGCTAAAGAAAGCATTTGAGAAATTCTCAACTGAACTCTCTGGTACCATTGTCTAAGGTTAGGATTACCTGTCATCACTTTCTTGTTTTATTAACAATACCATGACATGAACTGTTTATAAAATTGTTTCAAAAATTAGAAGCAAATTAAAAGCTGTGGGGGTGTCATTTAATACGGTTTAAACTAAGCCCCCACTCCTTGCCCAGCAAGTAAGTGTATAGGCAGCTTGAATAGATAAGGTTGCCATGGAAACGGGGCCCTAAGATGAATCACCATGACTAGGTAAAACAGCCCAGTTTCAGGAATGCAGAAGCAGGGTCAGGACATATTCTGTGTCAAAGGCCAGCACCCAAGACCAGACATCCAGCATATAACTGATGCAAACTGGCACTCCACCTAAGAAAGCCCATGGAAACAGAGTATAAAAAGATTCAAATCCTGGGTCCCATGAAGACATAGATCTCTTTTCTCACCCCCTGCTCCCTGGAAGGGTATTTCAATAAGTCTGCCTTTCCTGTTCTCCACACTGTCTCTGGTGAATTCTTTCATCCCAGCACCTCCAGCCTCACCCCAATATTATACCACCACAAATGCCATCTATATTTTTGGCTTAAATTAATTTCCAGTTAATTTGCCACAAATTACTGAGTGAAGAAAGTACTGCCTTGATCTGTCTCAAACCTAACCTGACCCAAGGGAAGCTCTTCAGGTTCTAATGTTTGAATGAAAGATCTTCCTAGGATTTGATGTAAAGTAAAAGTTCAATAAAATATAGTGACCATTTTTAGTTCCTAATTCTCTGTAAAGTAATGCTAGTATTTCTTAGATTAACATAATTTAGAAATATTTGACAATAACTTCCTGTGGATTATGAGGTTTGAGGGGATACTATTTAAAAGGTTATTTTCATAAGTCTTTGAAAAATAGTGGAGGCCTTTGTGTTTATTTACAGTAGATTTTCCTTAAGAAAATTATCTCCATCTAGTGGACAAATTATTATATTACAGTTTACAAGAAAAATATCAAAGTTCCTAGAATAAACTATACCTAGTATTTTATGGGGCAATTATAATAAAAACATTAATTACTGACTCAGGGTCATTTGAACTAAGAAAAACTAAAGCAAAAATCACACTCCTAATCTCCTATGTTTTTGTTTATGAATAACAGTTAAAGGATCCTTAAAATTTTTGTTGAAGAAACATTGGTTTATATCATTATATGAGTTCCAGGTATACAGCATCACACTTTTTTGAGTGCAATATACTATGTTTTTTTTTTGTGTGTCTGTGTGTGTGTATACTATATTCTGTTCACCATCAAAAAATCTAGTTTTCATCACCAGCATACAATTTTACTCCCTTTATCCTTTCACTCACCCCACCCACCCTCCTTGCCTCTAGTAAACTCTGTATCTAAGAGTTTATTATTGTTTTGTTTGTTCATTTGCTCTGTTCTTTACTTCTTTCACTTAGCATAATACTTTCAAGATCCATCCATACTGTCACAAGTGTCAAGATAAATTAACATTTTTATAACTGAGTAGGATTCCAATGTGTATATATACCACATCAAATTTTATTTTCTAAAACAGAACATCCTAATATTGAGGAGAAAACTTTTTACATTGACATGACAGCTGACAAGCTGCCATGACTTTTCCTAGAACAGAAATCTCCCTATGTTCTCCCCTATTTTAGAGGTTTTTAATAGCTTTCATGTGTTACTGAATGCCTTCAAAAGCTCTCTTTGACTATTACTCTCATATGAAGACTTCTCAGATATTCCAGCCTGAATTTACCTTATCAACTTTTTTTCTGTGTGTTCGTAGTAGGTACTTACTAAATGTTTATTTAATTTGGTATAATCCAGAAAAGGTTGCTAGATATCTTAAAGGATTAGAGCTCCCTTCCCCTCTAGCTTTCCACAGGATTGCCAGAGTCCCATGAACATGAATTACTTATCTGTGAAACAGATGGTCCCCTATTTAAGTGACACAGTTATGACATTTATTTGTGGTTCACATAATTATGCATTAGAGCTTAAGAAAAACATTAGGAACAGAAGATGATACATCCAGCTAGTTCACTAACTTTGTTCAGTTAACTCTTCTAGGATTGAGTCTGCTAGTCTAGTTGCATCTGCTCAACTAATCTCTCATCTCTTCAAATATCAAATAAATAAATATCAACTATAAATTGACATTATTCTAGGGAAATTTTCAATAAGGAAACATTTTTTTTTTTTTTTTGGTCTCATAGCAGGAATTTATTTTTTTTTTATTTTTTATTTTTTTATTTTTTTTTAAATAATAAATTTTATTGTTATATTCCCCATACAATTGCAGCCCCCCCATTCTGACCCCAATTCCTCCCCTCCCGCCCCCGCCCCCCTAAAAGTGTCTCTGGTTCATAGTTTTTTGTTGATTTTGATTTTCACTTTCTTATAGTTATTCATTTTCCTGGTCCCTTATTTAAGTTTTCTAGATTCCTGCTATGAGTGAGACCATCCGGTATTTTTCTTTTTCTTTTTGGCTTATTTCGCTGAGCATGATCCCTTCCAGCGCCATCCATGTTGCTGCAAATTGCATGTGTTTATCTTTTTTGAATGCTGAGTAATATTCCATGGTATATATGTACCACATCTTCTTGATCCAGTCATCTATTTTTGGGCATTTGGGTTGTTTCCAAAGCTTAGCTATTGTAAACAGTGCTGCTATAAACATAGGGGTACAGGTGTTCTTTGGAATTGATGTTTCTGTGTCCTTTGGGTAAATACCTAGGAGTGGAATTGCTGGATCATATGGAAGCTCTATGTTTAGTAGGTCCAGAAATCTCCACACAGCTTTCCACAGTGGTTGGACCAGTTTGCACTCCCACCAACAGTGCAGAAGAGTTCCTTTTTCTCCACACCCTCGCCAACATTTGTTGTTGCTAGTTTTTTTAATATGTGCCATTCTCACTGGTGTAAGATGGTAAATCATGGTAGTTTTGATTTGCATTTCCCTGATGACAAGTGATGTTGAACATTTTTTCATATGCCTGTTGGCCATTTGCATTTCCTCTTCAGAGAAGTTTCAATAAGGAAACATTTTTAGGTCTGATCAAACTAGATTATGTGTTTTACTCCTTTTTTTCCTACTTGGATTGATTTGGAGTCACTGTTCTTATGGTTATGGACTCATAACCATAAATCACCAAGGTGATTTGTGAAACATCAATCCACTAGCTTACTCTTCTACTTTGACTTCCATATCTTTAGGTCATAACACTATTTATTAATAATTCCAATATATAAAATAAAAGAATGATTGAAAGTTAACTGGTTAATCATTTGGATGAAGGCTTTAATGGGAAAAATATTGATAATAACTAAACTTGAATTCATTTGCTTATTTATTCAGTTATCTTTTTTAACTGTTTACCCTACTTGGCTATCCTGAGCTCGCACCCTCTCCTAGAGCACATGAAAATTGACTTTAGTACTGGTTGGCATTTGACTAGGAAATCTTTTCTTTGAGAAGTTTATTTGCACTGGAAAGACCGTGATATTATGAATTGTGCATGTGTGGTTCTTTTTCCTCCAATTCTAAAATCTGTATTGCTAAGTACAGTGCCTTTGATTCATTCAATCATTCATTCAAACCACTTGGTAAGGGTTTTTGAAATGTCTTGTGAAATGTTAAGGATATGCAAAGTCTCCATTCTCAGAAAGCTCACAGTGTAGTAATAGTGTCTGAGTTGTTAAACATTTTCAACTCATTTGTATATGCTGTCAATAGGCAGTGGGAAAATGTTTGGTAGCAAACAAAAAGGGCATCTCATAAAGCTCTAGGGAAGCAAGGCAACCTTTTTAGGTGAAAACTAAGTCCTCAAGGATGAATAACAGTTTGATAGGGCATGGGAAGATTGAGTAGTTAGGGAAACACAGGGTTAGGTTATGACAGTCTGTGACAAGGGATGATATTAAGTAGAACATGGAGTTCCTGGTGGGAAAGCTTTGCATGATGAGGTTGGGAAAGTGCTAATTTAATTGACAACAGATTGTTAAGATTTTATCAATATAGCCAAGAAATTTGGACTTTATCCTGGGATAATAGTGAACTGCTAAAGAGTTTTTAATTGAGGAATGATATAGTCAGGTTTACATTTTAAGAATATTCACATTTGTTACAGAGAGGAAAATCGATTCAAGAGACAATTATAAAGGTTGTGTAATAATGTTGGGTAGATTTGATGGCATTCTGAACTTGATATATTGTGGGTGGGGACAGAAGGAAATGGATACAACAGAAATTAGTGATTGGATAGGTATAGGTAAAAAAGGAAAAAAGTGATTTATAGGTAAAAAAGGAAAAAATCCCATGTCTGGGGAAATAGCAATATTAAGCATATAATGGGCACTTGTTGAATTGAACCCAATATTTGTGAATTGCTGTGTATTTGTTCTCTTCCCAATGAAGATTCTGTTCCTAGGAGAACTATTCTCTACAAAATGGTTCCTTGTTCACTGAACTTGACTTAGAGAGATCTGCCTTGTACCTGCTTAGTTAACAAAAGTAACTAAGGAAGACAAGAATATGACGATAATGTAGTTTTTATTTCATTTTGCTTTTGTGTATTTTAATATTGTTTTTCAGCATCAGAAATCAGGTTTAAATTTTTCCATTCCTAAACTGAAATTTCCCTTCTCTCAAATATTAACCTGCAAGCATTCATAGCATATTCCTCATGTTATTCCTTCTCCTTTGGTTACAGTTTCGATGTGGACAATGGCACATCTTCGGGACGGAGTCCCTTGGATCCCATGACTAGCCCAGGATCTGGGCTAATTCTCCAAGCAAACTTTGTCCACAGTCAGCGCCGGGAGTCCTTCCTGTATAGATCCGACAGCGACTATGACCTGTCTCCAAAGTCTATGTCCCGGAACTCCTCCATTGCCAGTGATATGTAAGTATAACAGGAGGCAAAGAGCAGATGAGGGTCCTATATAAAATCAAGTAAATTTATCTGTAGGGTTAATCATTTAATAAAAGACCAGTGATTTTTGTTTTTCTGCCTGTCTCTCCTCTAATTTAGAAAGAACAGTGAGTAAAAGATGAATGGTAATCAACTTGAGTATACTGTCACTTGTGACAAGAAGCAATGTTTTTACATAAGCTGGTTAATTGTTTGGATAAATTATATTACCTTTGGAGAAAGAAAATGCACTATCTGGGAAAAGTGAGAATTAAATTTTTAATGGAAATATTTAAACTTAAAATATTAGCTTATCTTCACAGATCTGAGTTTTTAGTTACCCAGTCAAATGGATATTTTTTAATAGTTTGAAAAGCCTAAAATTCAGTTTGAAAGCCCTTATGAAATTAAGAGTATGCAGCATTTTGAATATTTCTCAATTGAAGTACTGTACAGATGTTAGCACCGGTTTGCTAGAACGTTTGGGAGATCTTTGTGGGTTTTGACTAAATTATTTTTTTAATGTAAATGTCTAGAGGCAAGCACAGAAAACAGTAGACAGACTTGAATATCATTTGAAATGTGGTATAATTTGGAAAATAACTCAAAGTGATAAGCATGATTGCAGATTATACCACAGCATTAGCTCATTTTCTCTACACATTCCATTCTTGCATCTACTGTAGTATTCATTAGTTCAGGAGGTTTCTAAATAGGATCTTATTTTCACTTAGTCTCTGTGTCATCATTTGGGTTCACTCTACCGCTGTATAAAATTGGTCCCTACTTTCCTTTTCTGCATCTGGACATTTGTCCACTAAGATTCACCTTCTTATCATGACACCATCTCATAAACTCAGGACAGAGTGCAATTTATCTAATAGTGTTGTTCTTAGTGTCCTATCAGATCAAACTTTTCCAGTAAATCTAAATGGGGCTCTAAAAATACAACTGTGCTTATTAACTCATTTCACAACCTGTAATTGTTGATTGTCATCTTATTAACAGTTGTAGAATAATAATATTTGTGCCATGCTGCCACTAGGAATGAGCAACTAAAATGTAACCATTTTGATTCAAATACTAAATTATTAAATTCTTATTGTTTAGCTAACCCTGTGTGGAACTCTGCAGGAGATACACAGTGACTATAAGATAGTCTCAAATAACTACTAACCCTATGCAATGACAGATCTCAGATCAAATAATTAGTGGAAAAGACAAATCAAATAATTAATGGAAAGGATGCCTTAGTTTGCATCCTGTGTGTGATAAGTAAAAGTATCACATCACCTACTTTTACTTATACACAGGACTATGCCATCCTTCAAAATATATTCAATATACCCCCTTTCCCTCCTTTTTTTGGCAGTGAAACTTCTGCAGTATTATAACTCTCCCCATCATCTCACTCCTCCTCCAAAGATTTACATCTGTTGCTTATATTTCCTTGCCATGTTATGTTGCCTTACTGTCCTGGTATCTATCTCCATTCCATCCACATTGACTTCTGAAAATTTATTTAATTCATGTAGTATTTATTAGTCACCCATAAAGTGCAAGTGATGGCAGTTAGTAGAGGAAGTACAAGATGCATTTTATCTCCTATCTTTCATTGGTGTTGTCTTTTCTCTCCCCTCCTGCTCATATACTTTCCCCTCCACAGACCCTCTTATCATGCCTTAGCATAGTTCCCCAAAGCATTGCCCCTGCCCTCCTGTACTTTGCCTTGAAAAAGTTTTGTGTATAGACTCAACTATCAGCTTTTGTCAGAAAACTTACCACTTAGTATCTCTGGCCCTGCAACCTCATTAATGCCAGATATGTAACACTTAAATGCTTTCTGGTAATTTGTACTTTCTTTCAACTGTAACTCAAGATCATTAATTAATATGTTTATCATTAATCTGAGTTCCAGATCTATGGTACTTAATTGCCCTCGGGAAACTTGCACTATTTTATTCAACTGCTACCTTGCATGTATTAATTAGTGTATGTTTATCATCAGCACACTGTATTAATGCCAACCACTCTTCTTCAAGCCCCAAACAACCTCCTTTTCCCTATGGTCCTATTCTGTGCTATTTTTATCTCACTTTCTCAGGTTCGAAATTCAAGACATTCATTTACTCATTCACACATAGTGAATGCACTTACAGAGAAACTTTGGTGTTTTCAAAGCTCCCAACCTGCAGAGAGGGTGAGGTCCATTTAGACCATTATAATTAAGTGGAAAGAGCTCCCTCCTTGAGGCATTCACAAAGACATGGGAGTAGAGAAGGGAGAAAGAGAGTTTGCCAGCCTGAGAAAACCAGGCTGAAGGAGCAACATCTGCATGATGTGGGACACAAAAAACCATGGCTCAATTAAATAATGACAGCCAGGCTGTTTTCAGTAAGGAGATGTGGAAGGAGAGAAAGGAAATTTGAAAACAATAATAGGACCCAAAAACCACAGATGCATTTAGCTGGGATTTGGTATGATCATATTCTTGTTTTTATTGCATTCTGATTACTCTATTGTTGAATGATTACACAGCGAAGTGACTACAGGAAAGTGGACCTCTGTTTCTTAGAAACAAACCAAAAAAAAAGGCTAAATATGATAGAGGCCACCGTTGAGGGAGTGATGGTGAGATGAGCTTGGTCTAGATATGAGACAAGATGCTCATGCGGTGTTTGTGTGGGGCGGGAAGGGAGGGGCAATCAGTGGGGGAGGAAAATCAGAGAGAATGCTGAAGTTTTGACCCAGAATGAGCAAATGAATGGTGATATTAAAATGAGGAACACAGGCTGGAGAGTGGACAACATAATGGCAGATAATGGGTAATAAATTTGACTTATGTAATGAGGAGAAAACTCTAAGGGAAACAAGACAATAGTTAAAAGGACAAGGACAGAGAGCAGAGGATGAGGAGAAATGACAAGACCTAATTACCTCCTGTAATTACTAGGTTTTGGCTGACAACTGAGTGAAGCCTTTAGTGAGATAATGGAATTAGAACCCCAGTGGGTTGAGGACTGAATTGAAAGTGGCTTTATCAGCAAGTGCAGGCATCTCTTCCAAAGGTTGATAAGTTAAAGGGGGTAGGGGGAGGAGCGAGAACTAAAGCTGCTTGAGGGAGAATTAACTGCAAGGGAAATATTCTTTGAAATTTTTATTTCATGTTTAGGATACTGGAGCTGAGGCAAGGGCATGTTAAATGCTGCTGACAAGCATACAATGATGAGTTCCAGTAAAAGGACTAGCTTGGAAGAGTGGCAGGACGAGTGCTGCATTATTTAGGAAGAGCAACATATCAAAAACCACGCAAAAAGGGGAAATGTAAATTTGGACACAGGATAAAATATTTAGGGAATTCATGACTGAGCTCTACATTTTTGTTCAAGCAGTCAACAAGGAAAGGTGAACAGGGACAAAGGCTTAAAAGGCTACTCTGCAGATGAAAAAAGGTAACAGAATAAGGGTGTGTAGAAAAATGCTGAAAAGCCCCATAGATAACAACTAATCTTGAGCAAATGAATGACCAGTTCATTTCCTTCAGTTCATTAGAGGTCCAACAGCTTTGTTGTAGATGGAGGGTCAGGGTAACTCACAGTGAGTTAATGGACTCTGTTATTTAGTTACATATTCTAGCTTCCAAAATTATAGTGCATTGATTTTTAAATACCAGTTTCTTTTGTACTCTCCAGTCAACTTAGAAAAGATTAGATATATGCATGCATTTCATGAAAAGCCTATAACATTTCATATTTAAATACTACTTTTCTTTCCAAAGCAAACTTACAAAAATGACCTCATTTATCCCTGTACCTATTCATATTTTTTTATCTGATTGGACTCACGTAAGAATTACAAATTTAATCAGACCATGATGTAACTCTATGTTTTGTTGAAAAACAATGTCTTGACATATTCAGTTTTCCTGTTCCCTGTGGATATTTACATTGGAGCAAGGTTTTCTTGGACACTAACTGACTCTTGGAAAGCATTCTTTCCACCGGGAGATTAAATCTCTGAGAGAAGTAAGGTGAAGAATAAAGGATTACTGTTTCAATATTCAATCTGATGCGACACATGTCTTCTAAACCTAAAGGATTATGATGCCTTCTCATTTGATTTCACATGTGACCATGTGTAAATTCCCATTTTTTTATCTTTTATAGTTCATGATTTTTTTTGTTTCCTAGTTCATGCTGGAAGAACTTTCTTTCCTAGTTCATGTCCAGTGTCTCTAATTCAACTGAACTTTACAGAGAATGGTATTGTCAGATATTTTAATCACTTTAAGGTTTTTATATTTATTATTCTAGTTAAGCTTTTCTGTTGAGGAAATCCTTTAAAGATTTCAAATACAAACAATAGCAGTGAAGACTTGTGATTATCTATTTGAATATAATGTTCTAGAAAACCTTTAAATGCTCTTTAAGCTTAAATATAATTTATTTGTTGGGAAAGTTAGGAGGGCAATAATCACTCTTATAGTAAAAGGTGTCATTTTATCTTATAGAAGCAGATACTAGTTAAATAGTTCAGGCTCAAGGAGAAAATGAGACTAGTGGTGGTAATAATAGCAAATCTTGTAACATACATCACCTGTGCATGTCAGCCTAGATTTTCCAAGTATCTTTACATCTGCTATCTCATTTAAAATTTTCTTAAGTGCCATGGATAGGGACATTATTGTGTCACTTTGTAGATGAGATACCCAAGGTCTGAGATCTTAACATTGATTATAAAACAAAACAAACATTTTGATCATGTATAAAGAGAACTTGATTTTGATCATGCCAGTTAAACCAATTGCTGTGAACTGCAGCAGAAAACAGCTGTGGAGCAGAAGTACCTGTTGACCAAAATCATTTGACCAAATAAATTACTTAGTACTATGACAGTTTGTTTTGTTTTTGGTTATATTAGTCAGCGAAGTACTCAGGCAAATGTGCATGTGACTCTTGGAAAACACATCCAGGTCTATAGGCCAGCACCAG